GTTGAGTTACCCCCTTATGTCCTGTCTTGTGTCCTTTTGATTCATGTCTCCTTATCATTTACATCCCTGTTATTAAATACTTGCTTTACCATTTTAACATCTTGGTTTTATTTGTTACCTCCCTTACCCTAGCCGTGCTGGTCCTTTCAGACAAAAACACACATGTTTTTGTCTGAAAGGAAAATCTTATGGTTCCTTTAACGCTGCATCAAGTCTGAGACACAAACTGACATGTGATGAAGAAGGAGACAGAGTGGGACATTATTATTCTGAACTAAACTGCAGATAAAAACTATTGAATATTGATATACTATATGTATATCCTATACATGTAGCGAGAGCGGTGGGAGAATTATAGAGTGACAAATTTAGAATCTGCAACGCCACCCAGGTCTAGTACCTGGGAAAACATAATTAACTTGAAGAGAGCACACAGGTAAGTTTTACTGAGGAGGCAGAGACAGTCCCATTCAATGGTACAAAAGTTTTATTTTAAATTTAACAATAAGAAGTCCTGAGTCCTCACGCACCACACGCACACCATCAAACACCGTACACACCCAATCACGCACTACACACACACACTACACACGCTAAAGAAATTCGGGGCTGAGGCCTAACCGTGAGGGGAGAACTAAAAGGGGCGGAGAGCTAAAATAATGCAAAACAAACACCACAAACAAAATGTGCAAACCAAACCCAAACAGGAACCACCACCAGAGGAATCCACCACCACGGTGTCGGACCTTCAGCCCCTACAAAACAAAAGCATGGTCACAATAGGCCGTGCAGGTGAACGACAGTCAATCAAATAAAAAGACATCAAGGCTTGAGGAACATGGACGGTGCAGTCTTTAAGTCTCTCGTGTCAACGTCTCTGGTTGTAGTGCTGGGATATGCGGGCCCTGGGTGCTGCGAGCGAAGCAGGGTGGGCTACACCAATCTCCAAACTCCAACAGGGGCGCGGGCAGCCCCAGCAGAGAGCAGGCAGCCCCAGCAGAGAGCAGGCAGCCCCAGCAGAGAGCAGACAGCCCCAGCAGAGAGCGGGCAGCCCCAGCAGAGAGCAGGCAGCACCAGCAGAGAGCAGGCAGCCCCAGCAGAGAGCAGACAGCCCCAGCAGAGAGCAGGCAGCCCCAGCAGAGAGCAGGCAGCCCCAGCAGAGAGCAGACAGCCCCAGCAGAGAGCAGACAGCACCAGTAGAGAGCAGACTACAGCACCAGTAGAGAGCAGACAGCACCAGCAGAGAGCAGACAGCACCAGTAGACAGCACAGCGCGCGGCAAGGCGCATAGATGAGTGGGCAAAGCGGCAGCGTCTACATGCATTATAGCGGTTGTACTGGACTCTCGTTTAACATGGAAGGAGCATATTAAGGATTGAGGAGGAGTCTAATAAGGTTGTCACAGAGAGACCGAGTGACGCAACCGAAAGACCAAGGCTGTGTCACCGCTGACGGAGCAGCCATCTTCCCGTGGACCCACCACCTGCAGAGGATCAGCGAGGGACTGGTGCTATGAGCATTGGGTGCAGCTCTGATTGCCACCCCCGACCCAGAAATGGGCTAAAAAAGGGGTTGAAAATGAATGAAGTCTAATAAGGTTGTAAATGTTATGAGGTGTTTGGCAGAGAGAGACTGGGGAGCCAGCTGCTCCGCACTGAAACGCCTCTATCAGGCCTTGATAAAGTCAGTGTTTGATTATGGGTGTGTGGTGTACGGATCAGCAACCCCGTCTGTATTGAAGAAGCTGGATGTGATACAGGCCCGTGCTGTGGAGCCTTTAAGACATCTCCGGTGAATGCATTGCAGGTAGAGATGGGGGAGATACCGTTAGATCTGAGAAGGAAGCAGATAATGATGAACTACTGGATTCATCTACGAAGCCATGGGGAGTTCCATCCCACAAAACAGACACTGACGGGATTACTGGGAGTATGGTAAGCCCCAGAGAGATCATTTTGGGAAAGTTGGGGACCAGTTGGCTCAGAATGATGGTGTTTATGATCTTCAGATTAGTTCTGCTTTAGTGTTCCCTAAAATACCCCCGTGGAAGTTGGCGTGCCCAGGAGTAGATTGGTGCCTGCTGGACTTGAAGAAGAAGGAAAAAGGGAGGGTTGATCTGGTTGCAGCTTTTGATTGTCACGTATCTCAACTCTACTTAAGTCACATTCATATCTTTACGGATGGGTCAAAGAGTCCAGAATCTGGGGTTACAGGATTCGGAGCAGCTGTGCCAGGAAAAGGAATTGGTAATTAAAAGACAAACAGTACATCAAAGTGTTTACACAGTGGAGATGGTTGCTATATTAGTGGCGTTAAAGTGGGGAGCAGGGTTTTAATATGTTCTGATTCAGCGTCTGTGCTTTCTAGTGTTCAGTCTGATCAATCACAGGGTCGACAGGATATTTTGTCTGAAATTCTTATGAAAGTTTCTTGAATTCATCAGCAGGGGAACAGGGGGCAGTTTCTGTGGGTACCAGCACATTATGGCATTCAAGGTAATGAAGTAGTGGACAGACTGGCAAAGGGTGCACTGAATAAGACTAGGGTAGAGATGAGTGTGAAAAGTAGCAAGAGTGAAGCGAAAAGTGTGGTGTGGAAGCAGATAACTCAGGAATTGCAAAACCGTTGGGAGACAGGGACCTCAGGAAGGCACTTTTATCACATACAGAAAGAGGTGAGCGATGGCAGAAGGCAGGGGGGCCATCGGAGGGAAGAAATTGTCATGACTAGGCTTAGATTGGGGCATTGTGCGCTGAACAAAACATTGTATTATTGGGAAGCATGAAACAGGGCTCTGTGAGGGATGTGAAGAGCAGGAGTCTGTAGAGCACGTGCTGTTGCATTGCAGGGGATATAGTGAGTGCAGGGAGGTAATGAAGCAGAGGCTAAGGAACTGGAGGTTAAGGAATTGAATTGAAAGAGTGTTTTGGGTACTGGAGGGAGTGCACAGGTGAGAGCATTAGTGTTGTTTTTAAAGGAATCCGGGTTAAACAGCAGAATATAGATATAGTGCAGTTATTATTAGTGCAGTACCACAGGCTACTAGTGTGAGCCTACTGACCCATCCTACGGAACAGAGGGTGGTGGTAATGCACAAACAATTGGTCGCCAACCGCCGACAAAATACTAGTGATGGAAATATGAAGCCCCATGATCTATTGAGGGTTTGCCGCCTTTTACTCGGCCCATGGTTCGAAGGCTCGAGGCGATTCATGCTCCACTACGCCATCATGTGGACAAAAAATATATAACACTCTTAAGTGCTTACAATGAATGGTGGGGTCTAATATTAATATTGATATTTACAGTCTATGGTCTAAACATGTTGTGTTTGAAATGATGCTTCATGAACTATGAACTATTAGAGGCTTTCAGTCAATTGTGTCGATACAACAAACATTGGATCCAAAGCAATGCAGTTTTACAAAAGTGTTTAATTGAGGAAAAACTACCATGAGGTGGATTAATTAAACACAACAAAACATTTATTCCCGATAATTAAATATATTTGCTTTACAAATACAAATATGTTTCAGAGTCAAACGGGATTTGAACCACATGTCTTTAGTTTTAGAGTCTAGAAACTACCGTCTGCGCCACGTGACTGTTCTTCAACTCTGATCCAACGTATTATTAAAATAAACAAAAGTAAAACATCGTGACATTAAGGCAAACCTGGATATATGAAATTGAGGTTTTACTAAAGTGAAACCTTTTTAATTGTATTTCATATGAAGTAGATTTGCGTTACTTAAGTACAGGACTGCTCCACGTCACGCACACACACACGCACACTACGAACCGTCACGTGGTGCGGCCGCTACGCGAGGCTTCGAACGTCACCACATACGTCATCAACACGCGCCTCGACCCACTGGATACTCTGTACACGCTTTGAAGACTCGGCACGCTCAGCACATCAGTACAAAACACTCAGAAAGAAGAAGAAGAAGAAGAAGCCTCTTTATCACAGCTGCAGATTATTCACTCCCACAGAGACAGATGTAAGTACCAGACTTTAAACCTCTCTATTCTCCACTAACAGACTGTGGCTTTGAGTCCCGTGGGTCTCGGATTCCAGCAGTGATTCCCGTGTCGGGGGCTAATGCTAATGCTAATGCTAATGCTAATGCTAATGCTACTAACAAGAATATAGAACACGTGTTGATAAATGTCATACATGTTAAAGTGTCCTGGATCACCACAGTCCTTCTTGTTAGACACTAACTGTCCAACAGACTCCTGCATCAGAGGAAAAACTCTAAAACCCAGTGGGACAAAGTGAGAAACCTCAGGGAGACCCACAATGAGACGGACGGGCTAAAGATCCAGGACCTAAACTACAGAACGTGGACCAGGACCACGCAGATGTCCCAGAAAGAAAAAATCACACACAATTGATACACAAAGAGAAAGATCACATCTCACTAAAGCTGCAAGGAATCCATTATAAAACTACTCTGGGCAAACGGCTGTAATCATGTTTAAAGCAGAGAAAAGTCCAAAAGCTGAATATGTGGTGATGGGTCGTGCTGCTTCTGGACCTGAGTCGAGAAATCATGAAGTCTTTGAGTTGTTTTCAGTGAATGATGTCCCTAATGATGTTTGAAGCCTCGAATACAGGAAATGGAGGAATTGATGAATCTATATCTGTACTTTCAAACTTTGTGGGTTTGTGTTGGCGATTAAGTTTGTGAGTGACATTGATACACAGTATATATCTTGTTCTATCCATACTTGTTTCCATGGAACCTGTGAGAAAGGGAAAGTTTTCCCCATAGACTTTTTTTGATCTCATCTCTCCTAATAAGGTAAGTAAATAGTTAGAAACAATAAATTCTGCACTAAACTCTTATTGCATACATTCATTAAAATTTATCCGCTTCCAAATATTTCTAAAATATTGTAACTAATTGAAATCACATAAGCAAAAATACACAACATCTTAATTTGTCTCTTTAGTGAGCAGAAAGAAGGACCTCGATGATGCCTGGGTGTCAATGATCATTAAAGACATCCAGCCTCTCAGTATCGTGGAGGACACTGGATTAAGAGTTTGTGGGAAAACTAGATCCAAGCTAAATCATCCGAACAAGAAAGCTTTGTTTGGTGACTTGGAAGAAGCAGAGTATTTTTTTATTCAACAATTTGATTATTGTTTACTCTTTCAACGTTCCTTCAGACAGTAAAGGTTGAGGAGAGAGACCAACATGAGAAAGAGAAGGCCAAAGCTGAGGTCCAGAAGGTTCCTGCAGTCAGTTTATTATGGGGTGTATCTATTATGGCATGTAATCACATTGTCATTATAGTCAAAGTGGGACTCTTCTTTTTTTATGTTGAACAGCATGTCAATAGGCAAACGGGGGGAACGACCAAAAACAAGATAAAATGGAGCGTAACCTGTTGCTTCACTTTTTGTGCAGTTGTAGGCATGAACAACTCTTTCCAATCTTCCTTCTCCTTGTCCTCCAGGCAGGCCCGTCGCAAGGGGAGTGCGAGGCCCTGTGCGAGGCCCTGTGCGAGGCCCTGTGCGAGGCCCTGTGCGAGGCCCTGTGCGAGGCCCTGTGCGAGGCCCTGTGCGAGGCCCTGTGCGAGGCCCTGTGCGAGGCCCTGTGCGAGGCCCTGTGCGAGGCCCTGTGCGAGGCCCTGTGCGAACTCGAAACGCGAGGCCCTGCCCTGACACTTTTTTCCCAGATCTGAGGAAAGTTTTTCCTGTTATAATCTTTGACATGAATTTAGCACTGCCATGGCGGTGCGTGAGGAGATCAGCACGCGCACAGCCGAGTGTCTTCGCTCCAATGCAGCGTTGGGCGCACGCACACACACACACACACACTGCGGCGCTTGGCATTGCGATATTGGTCGCGGTCTTTTTAGCTGACATGGCTCTTTCGTCCTGTGGCAAAATGGCAGAGCAACTCAAAAGATTGAACCAAAAGGAGTCTTTTTCTTCTAATAATTAGATTTGCGCCAATTAGAAATGCGCCAAAATGGCAATGAGGCGGAGTCAAACATTGTTTTTTTTCTCATCAAATAACGTTTTTGCCATGCCTCCACACACTCTGACAACAACATGCACTCCTTCTCCTTCTCCTCCACACTGACCACAACATACTCTTCACCTCCTCCTCCACACACTCTGACCACAACAAAAGCAGCGTTTTATGTCCAAAATCCACTCCACTCGCAGTGGACGCTAAAGCTAGACATACAGTGTGTTTGCTAATGCTTTTAAAAATATGTTTTTGATGTGAATATTCGGACTAAACATTGGCAATAGCAGCTCTCACACACCTGTCACACCGCTGATCCTCCTCTGCTCACACCTGTCTCACTGCTCCTCCTCCTCTGCTCACACCTGTCTCACTGCTCCTCCTCCTCTGCTCACACCTGTCTCACTGCTCCTCCTCCTCTGCTCGTACCTGTCTCACTGCTCCTCCTCCTCTGCTCACACCTGTCTCACTGCTCCTCCTCCTCTGCTCGTACCTGTCTCACTGCTCCTACTCCTCTGCTCACACCTGTCTCGCTGCTCCTCCTCCGCGAGTATCCATCTCTCCGTTTACTGCGATCATTCCCGTTACTTTCTTCGTATCTCACTCACACTGCTAAAGTTATCTGACAGCTCCGTAAAGTTTGTTTCGGAGGACCCGCTGCGTACATAGCTGCCCGCGCACCTGCCTGTTTACAAATCGCATTTTTTGTGAAAACATGACTTTACTTGTAAAAATTTTCTTTTGATCAAACGGAATCAGAGGTCCAGAGAAAGGGGTTTAGGGGTCCAAACTTGGAGCGCAGTATGCCCTTTGGGGACCCTTGAACTAGTGTAAAAAAAAAAAAAAAAAGGAAGTAAGATTGCGAGGCCCCTGTGTGGTACGAGGCCCTGTGCGACGGCACAGGTCGCACAGCCCTTCTGACGGGCCTGCCTCCAGGGTGCGCAGCATGGACAACAGGGTGCGGTTAAATCTCTCAACCTGTCAGTTACCCTGTGGCTGGTAAGGCGTGGTGTGAGAACCTTGGATGCCTGAAAGTTCTTTTAGTCTTGTCATCAGCTTTTTTCCAACTCTTTGCCCATATCGTGATGTAACTTTGTAGGGAATCCGAACTTGAGCGTAAAGTCATTGAACAATTTGTCAGCTACTGTTTTGGCTGTTTAGTTTCTTGTAGCGTAGGCTTGAGCAAACCTCGAAGTGATCCATAACTACTAAAATGTACTCTCAGCCATTTTTGAACGACAGTAGCTCAGTTGGTAGAGCATTGGCCTTTGAGCCTGAAGGTCGTGGTTTCGAACCCACCGTAAGACCTACTTCACGACTCCCACTGATGACTGCTGTCGTTGTGTTCTTGGGCAAGACACTTAACCCTACTTTGCCCAAAGCCCCCACTGAAAGATCTCAGCTCCTGTGGACTCACCACCTGCAGGAGGATCAGTGAGGGGCTGGTGCTATGTGTACTGGGTGCAGCTCTGACTGCCACCCCCCCGACCCAGAAATGGATTAAGGGGAAGAAAATGGATGGATGGTGCACGTGTCTGTTTACTTGGCTTTTTCTTCTTGAGGCACTCTCATTCTTCTGTCACAAAATGTTCTACATCTTTACTCATTTGTGGCCAGTAAAACCTTTCCCTGATTGCATCGAGTTTCCTCTCTACCCCCAAGTGCCCCATATCTTGGTGTAGTTCTTTGTAGACCAGGGAACGAAAGATTTTAGGAAGCAATAGCTGCTCTCGGCGCAATGTTTTTACGGCGTAATGTGAAGCTTTAACCATTGCTTGAGCAGTGAGGCTCTACTTGGTCTCTTGTCTTGTGACTTATACCAACGGTACAGTGGTAGAGGACAATCTTGAGGTCATGAATCCAGTGAAATTAGTCGCACACCTTTTTACAGTAATAAGTTACAGCAGATCAAAAGTGACATGTTTTGACAATTTTTAGGCTATTTTGGACCAAAATGGCTGCTTTAAATCAATATTTCTACAGTAAAAGTTTCTGGTCTTTGGTACAGTGGTAGAGGGCAATCTTGAGGTCGTGAATCCAGTGAAATTAGTCGCACACCTTTTTACAGTAAAAAGTTACAGTAGATCAAAAGTGACATGTTTTGACTATTTTGGAGGTATTTTGGACCAAAATGGCTACTTTACCTCAATATTTCTCAATATTTCTACAGTAAAAGTTTCTGGTCTTTGGTACAGTGGCAGAGGGCAATAATAAGGTCATGAGTCAAGTGAAATTAGTCGCACACCTTATTCCAGTAAATAGTTACAATACTTGAAAATTGCACTAGCGGACCAAATTGTGTACTTTATACATGTAAACAATAGAGTGGCTATCCTCCTGAGGACTCACAATCTGCAGGAGGAATCGTAGGGGGCTGGTGCTATGTGTACCGGGTGGCATCTCTATAAGGTTTTAATCACAAAAACGTGTCTCCCAGACCCCAGCGCGCTTTCTGTTCGATAAAAATGGGTGACTCCAAAAGGATGTTCCGCTGTTACCGTAAGTTCTCAACAAAACGCGCACCGTCTTTTCCCCGATGCGGGCCGCATGTTCATAGAGCTGAAAGATGCGGGCCACTTTACCGCGGTAAATTAATAGACACAGCTGCTTACAGCGATGATCGCTGATGGAGACGGAGACACGCGGTGTGCACGAAGGGGAGGGGCTGTGTGTGTGTAGGTCTCTGTATGTGGGAGAGACGCGTAGCTTGAGTGAGAGTTACGAAGGGCCGCCACATTTTAAACCCCCCTCCCCGCTGTCAAATTGACCGCTGCGGCGGCACTAGACGATGCATGTTTTAAATAGCGTAACAAAAAAAAATATATATAATAATACGAAACGCAATTTGTGGCGGGCGGTCTCTAATCTGTGGCGGTGCGCCACAGATTAGTCTATGTGTGGGAAACACTGTAGTGAAACAGGCTGCAGATTGTATTGTATGGTATTGTATGTACTTTATTTGAAAAGGGACAGTGTACACTTATACACACTTAGTGTAATATACATTGAAACGGTTTTGTCTGTGTTAAATGTCAGACAGTTTTGACACTGCCAGTCAGCAACATTTTGCATTTCATTTGTTAATTTTGTGCTACACTGAAAACCTAGGACCCTATAAATTGACATGGTGAGCTCTAGTGTTGTGTAGTGGTTAAAGCCCTGGACTAGGACTTTGCTAACTGGGGTTATTCCCAGGGTCAGGCTCTACTGTTTTTGGGTTAGTTTGATGAAGACTGTTTTAGGCTCAGTTTACATTATTACTAGGGCCGGGACGCGATAAAAAAAAAAATCTAATTAATTAGAGGCTTTGTAATTAATAATCTCAATTAATCGCATTTCAGTCGCATATAAATATTTGACCTGAGAACAGTGAGAAGTAATTTTTTTCACATGGATGTTTAGTTTACCATTGATTAAGGGCTGCTCCTACTCCGTGTCCTCCTTCTCCGTTCATGCTAGTGATGTGCTGAGCGTGCCGGGCCTTCGAAGCGTGTACCGAGTAAAAAAGGGGCGTATTTTTTGTAGCGTGGTTTGAGGCGTGTGTTGGTGACGTTCGAAGCCTCGCGTAGCGGCCGCACCACGTCACGGTTCATATAGAGCTTCATATAGTTCGGAGAGTGCATTGCTTTGACAGGTGCTTTGTGATCCGCGGCTGTACCATAGACTGTATTGGCTGTCCCCGTCTGCCTCTGTGTGCGTACGTGTGTGTGTGTGCGTACGTGTGTGTGCGTGATGTGGAGCAGTCCTGTACTAAGTATAGAGAAACAACTTCATATGAAATACAATTAAAAACGTTTCACTTTAGTAAATCCTCATATATCAAGGCTTCAAGTTAGTACTAATAATACAATGGATAATACATCTCACAACAGCTGTGTGGCACAGTCGGTATATGACAGACTCCGAAGCAGAAGATATATCGTTTGAGTCCCGGTCTACCCATAATAACTTTTGTGTTGCAAAGTAAATGTATTTATTTATTGGGAATAAATGGTTTGTTGGGTTTAATTAATCCTCCTCTTGGTAGTTTTTCCTCAATTAATCACTTTCTGTAGAACTGTATTACTTTGGATGTGTTTGTTGTATCAACACAATTGACCGAAAGACTCAAATAGTTCATAGTTCATAGTTCATGAAGCTTCATTTCAAACACGTTTCAAAGTCCTACACCTTTCACATGGTGTGAAACCACACACCTAATATGACTCTACAGCGCCACCTATGTAAGGCTTCTGACCTAAACTTTTCCGATCTTCACCAAAGTTGCAAAATCAAATCTTTACATCTGTACGAGCAAAATACTACTCTACGTAGAGGGTGCATGTCCCGGAGGTGACCACTAGGGACGCACTTTATCATATAAATGAGCTTTTATATACGTAATCCTGGTCAGATCGGGCTGCCAATTCGTCGGCGTGACGCTTGTGGGACTGGCGCCCGGGAGGCGGTCGCAAGAGGGGCGAGGCCTTTCATCGCCGCTTGCGGCTTTAATTAGGCCGAGCCAATACTTTGTATTGGGGAGGCCTATTGTTATTCACCGGTTTCATATTATTATTATTCTTTTTTTTCCGCATCTTCAATTCGATTTTTGACCCTGAAGACATGCACGAAAGTCTGCACATGGGGGGTCTAAAACGACCGGTTCGGCGAAAAATTTGATAAAATGAACGTTTCCAGATTGTCCGACGCTCGCCGAATCTATAACGC